ATTATGTTACACAACGATTTATCATCGACATATTTCACTTCAGTTTAAAAATATATATTAGTTTAATATCAACAAGAAAAAACATATTACTTTAGCTGCACCGACGCTATAATACCCTCAACAAATATAAAAGACTCCTTACAAGAACTTGATACCGATCGTTCAGTTTGTATGGAAGCTATATGCTATAGTGATTCGATCTGAACTACTTGTATTTCTTAAGAGATTGCATTCCACGCCGAATTTTATAAAGATATCTCGGCAAATGAAAAAGTTTTCCATAAAAGCGCTTGATTCAGATCATTCAGTTTGCATGATAGCTATATGCTATAGTTGCCCGATATCGGCGATTACGACAAGTGAGCAGCTTTTTTCTGACAGAATTCTGACAATTGACATCTAGTATGAAATCACCTTTAAAAAACGTTGGGGTTTTGTATGGAACAATCAGTCAGCTAAGGCAAGGAAAGATAGTAATACAAAACCTTTGCAAATCAAAGTTAGCACAAAAATATCTGGTCAAAATTTATATGCCAGGTATAAATGCAACACAAATATTTAACGGAAATATTCAGATTAAAAAATGCAATAAATTAATTCGTCTAGAGCGCGCAACTATTTCGTGATTTAACAATCTTGCGTTAGTATTAATCAAGAGTGACATACACATATGGTTGGCTATGTGTATCTTTTACCAAGGCAAATCGTCCGTAAGTATGTTTCTATGTCATGGTGCTGCCTGCTAATCTATGTCAGCAATTTAATACCATTTAAATAAGTTTTGCTACAAAACAATGCGGACAGTGCATTAGTAATTTTTAATACGCATAAATATGGATGTATACATTATTATATAATACTTCGCAACGAGTTATAATAAAATTTGCTTTTTTCTTATGGTTTGCTCTATTCAATGTTGTTTTAATTAAATAACATTAATAGAGAAGATCACTAAGGTTCTATGGAAGAGAAAGATATATGAATAGGAATATTCACAAATTTTAGTGATACTTGATATTCTTGTTTAAATCACAGCGAAATTGTTAGCATTTTTTAAAATCTGAATATTTCCGTTAAATATTTTTATTGTGTTTATATCTGGTATATAAAATTTAACAAGATATTTTTGTGCAAACTTTGATTTACAATTAAATTAAATTTCTTAAGTATTAAGGCTGAACAGGGTTTAATAAGTTTGCCAAGACGTTTGTAACACCCAGACGGAAACGTCGAAGACCCTATAAAGTATATATACCAGTATATGTATAAACGAGCAGTGCGATAAGCTGAGTCAATTTAGCTGTAACTGTATATGTGTTTTTGAGATATCGATCTGAAATTTTTCACATGTCTTTTTCTTCTCAAAAAGCGGCTCATTTTATTTGATATCTGTATGAAATTTAACATAGACTATTATTCAAGGCAACGATATAATCTCCGAACAAGTCAAAATCAAGATAAAAATCTTTCTATGACCTTTTATGTTATAAGAAATACACCTAGAAAGGTAATATAGCTTTGGTTCAGCCAAGTTATTTGGATTAAGAAGCGACCAAATTGAGGCTACTTCAGCATTGGGAGGCAAATGGTTACTTTTGACAAAAAATAGTGACTACTATATAATATTGAAATATTTATTAACATGAATTTTCATTTATATTTCTTATTTTTTTTTTGACCTTTCTGATCTTTTCTTGTGCATTTTTTATATCACAACAATATCTCAAGTTAAATCAGATGTCCTTAAATAAAAATATAAAAGTTTAAATAAATGTATGTTAGGAAAAAATCAATTAACCGAAGTTCGAAGCCTGAAACTAATATTTGACAGTTAAGTTTTTGAGGTGAAAGTTCATAATTTTAGTAATTGGTGATTGCTTTAGTTTCCCCACTCTACAGTAACTACTTTAATTAATCAAAATTTTGAGGAAAGACAACGGAAACCCGAACTTAGATTCAGTAATCGTGTTTGCATTATTCTGCTTCAAAAATAACTTTCACTGCTTTACGCAATGCGAGCACTGATATTATACAATATAATTGCCGAAATAAAAAAATAAAAAATAAAACAATTGTGCACACAAATTTGAAGTTCAACCGAATACCTACAAACATATGTATATATGTATTGTATATAAATGAAGAATTTGTAGTGAAAAGAAAAAAAAATTATTTGTGTACACTTGCTACTTTGCACTAACCACGTCATCAAGGCGAGCAATTCTACATTCTCCGCATTGTCTTTCCTAAGCGACTGGCACACACAAGCCTCACATATATATCTATATTTTAGTTTGTACATCATCCAGTGTTTGTTTGTACCCATCGCTATCATATTTATTTGTAGGTTCAGCTCTTTGTTGCCTTAACCTGTTGCTTTTGTAAAAATTACATATTTGTTGTTGCCGCTTCACAGAGAGTCAACTGAAAATCATTACATTTATCAAAAAATAGTCTCTACAGCGTCATCTCTGGTATATAAAATGTGTAATATACATATATATATATATCATATATATAAATATATATCTTCGTATTAATAATAAATAACTTTCAGTTAGTTGAGAAACTCGCACACATATTAAGTTGCACAAACTTTCTTGCCCAATCAGCACTTTTTACATTCACTCGAATTGGAATTAAAAAGAGGGAAAAAGTATTGTTTATATTTTAAAAAAATATTCGCTTTGCTTGCATGCACCTACCTTTTATTTAAACCTATAAAAAATGTCTTTATAAATTTTTTGTTTTGAATTACTTTGTTGAAATACCGCTCGCGCACAACCTTCGCCTTGGACGCTTAACTTGAGACTGCTCGCGGGTACGGTTGTGATCGTCTGACATGGATTGTGATCGAATTTACTGTTTGGTAGTTTGTACGTTTGCTTTGTTGGCCATAATTATACACAGCATTGAATGTTTAAAGCGCTTCGCAAGCTTTGATTATTCGGTACTCCTCAGTGCAGCAGGGGCGCTCGGAGATTTCATTGTGCACTCTCTGTTTTGTTACTACTTTCTTCTGCAGCACTTGTTGGAATCGGCATTTAAAATGTGTAAAAATGATGTGGTAGAATAATGAAAAAAAGTTATCTGATGTGTTGATCACATAGGTAGGAGAGTTTGGTAATCACAGTTATGCGTTGAGAGTGTTTGCTGCAGTTGGAAGTTCGTGGCTTAAATCTTTTGTATTGTAGGACCGTAGAGTCAAAAAAAGCAAACGTTTAGTCATTGTTGGTTTGTTTGGTATTTAAAAATTAAGTTTGTAGCTATATATTATATAGAACTTTATACCCTACTCATCATTGTAAACTTTTATTTTATTATAATTTCTCATTATTATAGCACAAAAGCATATGTGAAGCTTTACTTACATGTATCTTGTTACATTTATGTAGTCATATTTATGATCTAATTGAGTATAGCAAAGTGTATACTCTACCGTCAGAAACATTGTTTAAGAGAGACAGGAAAGAGTTTTCCATGCAAAAAAGTTAATATTTTATATTTGTATAGAAAGAAAAGAAAAGATCAAGAGTAAATTAAAGTTTAAGAATATTTTAAAAAGTAATTTCATTTTTTTTCTAAATGCAATTTTTGAGTAGTCTACATTAAAGTTTTCCAGAAAATAAAAATAACTCGAATGCTAATTTTTGTTGTATTTGACAAATTTATATAGGCTTTTCATCGTAAATATAGCGTTCTAGATTCCAAGCATACAGTGTAACCCTTCTTCAAATATTAGATGTAGGTCACACCTTGTGAATGCCATTACCTTTGCGACCGATATGGCAGTCCATGTTCGAAAGGTGAAGTCCACTGTTTCTTTCTTTAACAGTGTCCTTTGATTTTCTTTGAAAATTTCCTTTCCAAAAACCAAAACCAAATCTGCGACCAATATTGCTCTATTTCCAATTTTCTAAAATCACCAGACACGCCCGCTTCCACAAGTTGACAAAACCAAAAAGGCTGACAAAAAAACAACATTTTCATCTTTTTTATACAATTCTTTATTATCGCCTTCACAATAGGCTCCTCTTTAGCCAATACAAGCATGCTAATGTTTTATCCGATTTTCCAAACACTTGTTACAAGCCTCGGTTGGGATGACCTTCAGCGAATTTTGGCGTTTTTAATTTTCATTTTAGGAGCGCTATTTACTAGATTGTTGGACACTCTTAACGTCATATTTATAAACCCACATCTTGTCACCAGTTATGATGCGTTTAATGAATGTAGGGTCCTTAGCTACGATGTCAATAATCTCTTTTACAAAGCACTCAGGTATTTTGGTTGGTATTTAGCATTAACAGTTTCCAAATCCAAAACTTTAACCAAAATTTGCTATCTCTCTGATGCCAATATGACGACATAACAATTCTGCTACTTGGGTTCGTGTTAACGTAGACTCCCTAAAAACTTGCAGCAACACTTGAACGATTATGTAGTCGGAATTCCAATAAAAACATATTCAAACACACACTAATTAAGTTATAGTGATCAGATTTCACATGAACCAAAAGAGGTTGAACCAAAAAATAAAAAAAAAGAAGATCGATTCGGTTTTCGTGCAATTTAAACGGACCAGTCCGAGTCAAATTTAATCATATGGTATACCTTGTTCAGGGTATAAAAATTTTATCAAACATCAAGTAGTGTGAAAGTATCCATTTTTATTATTTTAATTATTTGGATCTTTAAATCAGCTCTACGCCTCACCAAGCTCATTCTTCTTTCTACGATGATTCCAAATTTATATCGACCGACTCAACTAAAAATATATTTATACCATTTTAATCGTTATCTAATTTTTATGTTAATTGCACAGCATTTTAATTACTTTTGTGATAAATTCCAAAAAAATTAGACTTGAAAAGTTTATGTCATAAATAAATGCATAAATAAAGTTATTTTTTTTTGAAACATGTGGTAGTCTAATAAATCAAAAGCATTTCCCACCATAACTTACCAAGACTGAAAAACAATGTAACATATTTTTTTTTGTTTGGTTTTCTGCAATTAATTTACATTTTTTTTATTCATTTATCAAAAACAACCTCAAAAATATATTGCGGGCTTCAGCGCGACTTGCAACAGTAATTACAAATTTGGCCTCTCCTAGCCATAGTTATTTTAAATTAGTTATTTTAATCATTGCCTACATCTCTTTGTGAATACTCTTTTTTGCTTTTTGTTCAAAACCTTCTCTTTCCTTTTGTAATTTTTAGGCGGTTTCCATTCGACTCATCATTTACATCCTCCACAGGCTTCGTGAATGTATTATACCAATCGTTTACATGTTTCGTCACTATATCTACGACCTTATTAACTTTATCTTTAACTGTTCGTAAATAACCATTGTATTTCTTGTTACTAACTTCATCATCCATTTGTAAATGGTTTGAAAGTCTCGAAACTCGTGCATTGTCCACTAAACGTTCTGGCATTATGCTCCCCAATGGCAACAGTTCCTCGTCTTTGGTGATCATATTCGTAAGCCATTCATCATCAGGTATTTTATAGCGCAAAGCGCGTGGCGATCTTCGTTTACGCAGCGAACTCAAATTCCACCAAGGTGCCTCTGTCGTCGAGGTAGCAGTGGTGCGCTCTATACTTTTTTGCATATCCAAATTGCCGACGACACCACGCTCATTGAAGTAGTTTTCCAAATTCTCCGCCAAATAGTCGATGTATTTCGTACGTAATGATTTGATTTTTTCCAGCATTTCGTCCTCATTTTCGATATGCCTTTCGCTCAGCTCTTTTTTGTTGCTCTTCTCGATGTGCTCTTTATCATCGTGATCGCGCAGGAAAGTGCGTGCCAATTCTTCTTGTGCGCGTAGAAAGTCTTCAGCTAGTTGACCACCGGTTTGAAATTGTGCCGTGTCCACTTTTTCCACATCAGTATCGGCATCATGCAATGCTGTAGATTCCCCGAGGGTGTTACTTTTCAATTTCCTATTATTGATAATTGTTTTTTTCGTAAAAGGCTCGGGAAATAATAATGCGTTCCATTTATGCGGCTTCTTTAAGTGCATTTGGTTCGAATTCGATAATGGCATTGCCTCGTAGAACTCGGTGGGTAATAGGCGTACCGGTTTCATTTCATTTCGTATTTCTTTACCAATTGTGCCTTGTATTTTCATAGTAGCTAGTTTCTTCTTCCCACGCTCTTTGGATTCATCATCATCTTCACTCTCCAATTTGGTAATATGCGTCAGGTGTACATCACCTTCGGGCACACGTGGCAATTCGGGTTCGTTTTCTGTACCCATTTTCTTAAAAAACTCCTCCTCATTGAAATGCTCTGGATCGTAAGCTGGTGTAATGGATTTCTTTTCTGGTTTGCGAATTTCGGTAATTTTCTTAACTACAGGTGATCTCTTTTGGGCACCCTTCGTACCAAAGATGGCGCCAAAGTAATCATCGACGCTACGAGTATTTCGTTTCAATGAAAACAAATCGTCACCATCCTGCATAGCAGTATCCAACAAATCTTTAATCCATTTCAATGTAGCTGTTCGTCGATCCTCGATTGCTTCCTCACGCTTTTTCGGCGACTTCTCTTCGAGAGAGAGAGGCTCAAAGAGTTTGGCCAAAGACTCCATATGTTCGTCTTTATCTTTCAACACAACATGACGGGCACGAGTAGCATAACGGCGTCCGCGGTGATTATTTTTTATCATAGCATCGTCGGGTAGCGCTGTTTCCTGTATAAGTTGCTGCAGCAATTTGTCCGAAGATGAAATTTGTTTATGCAATACTTTTTCCTCCTCCGAATCTCGTTCCAAATCGTCAACATCAATCTCTGTAAACTGGCAATGCTCCAGCTCAGCATTTGGCAGTACCCAAAAGCCAATCGATTTCCCAGGTGAATTCAATTGTATCGACTTAGTTGGACTCTTCGTCTTAACTTGAGGTGGCAGTGTTGAGTTTAGAGTCAACTTCTCATTGTTCAAATAGGCATAATTTTTCTTAAATGTTAAGATATATTGCCAGTACTCATCGCCCGACAGCTTTGTAGCGGACCTAATGGATATTTGTTTGGCTTCATCATCGGGATTGACAATCATAAAGGCTATGCCGCCTGATACTGTATTTGCGCAATGAGTGTAAAGCTTGTTACTGCGCAAGAATATGGTGAAGGGGCGTGCAGGAAACACGCGCGAACCCATTACCTTCTTGAATACCAATGTTACAAAGAAACTTTGACTAGGGCGTTCCAAATCATCTAGATCCATGCGTCGAAATACCGCATCAAAACCTGAGCTTGCCGCTTCGCCAAGTGTCTGCGCCCAACGTAGAACTTCGGTAATATCCTCCGTTGATTTACTACTACTACTACCGATGCTTCCCCTCTTTGATTTATTCGTTCGATCTTTGGGCATGAAGTTTAACCAAACAGGAACTTTCTCATTGAACATGGCGCGCAAAACTCGATCATTTTCGTAGACCGAGCCAACCATACTGTTTGAAGTCGAAGCATCTGCGGGTCTGTGAGTATGCAAAGTGTCCTAAGTATAAATACATGAGTATTTCATATTTTTAAAACTTACTGTAACCAATTGAAGGCCGCATTCATATCCTTACTATACTCGATGTAACGTCGTATATCTTCATTTGTGCTGCCTGATGGCATTTCAGCACCGATAACTTCCCAATCATCAACATAAGGACTAAATGTGTTCACCATCAAACTTAATGTATTTAAGTCGTTGAAGTACTCCGAAATACTAGAGCCACCTTCTAAAATGTAGAGTATTTTAGAAAGCCTATAGTTCTTAAACTTGTGGAAAATATTTTCCAGCTATTGCTTGCCTCCTACCTGTACCCAGCTGCCATATGCAATCGGTTATACCCGTTGAATAAGAACTGTTCAATATTCTTAGCGATTCCATGGGGTCCCATTCGCCAGCTTCATATGGAAGTGGCATAATCATGGTCCAGTTGACGGCACTGTCAAAACATTTTTAATATAAGTACACTCTCATATGCTTGTACACTCACCTCGTCCAGCGATTGAATCCTTTCCATATAGTTTTTGTTGGATTTCGATATTTCGTATCGGTATCCGGTATGAAATTATAATCATCCGAAAATTTTATGTAAGAAGTGCCCAGCATTGTGGCCATTTGAGTAAGAGTTTTTCTAAAAATAAATATAAAGTAATATTTCAACTTAAATAAAGTGATAACAAGCTGACCTATTTAAGCCATCGAGCGCATGATATAAGTCCGACGGCTCCACAGTAAAACTAACAAATTTCTCATTCACATCGTTCAAAGGCCGATTCACGTTCAACTGCACTAACAAATCCGCATACACCGAGGATACACATATTACGATTATTAAAGCTAACATTTTCACTATTGATGCCATAAGTAGGGACATCTTTCTGCAATATTCTTAACCGTGCGCTGAGAGGTGTGAATTCCGACTAACTCTAAATCTTGACGCTCGCGTCGCTAAATAAATAATTATTTTTAAAATATTTCACCTTCTCATTGTTATTATTATAATTATTAAATATGAGTATATATATGTATATATATATACTTCGACCTAGACCAGATGTTGGCGTTTGCGTCAGCTCTTTTATTGAATTAAAAAGTTGGGGCTTTTAGAAAAACATAATTTGCTGACTTTTGCAGTCGCATATGGAAGTTCATTGCAGTTTCCAAAGAATGTGAAATTCTATAAATATACATACATACATCTTTTATTAAACAAAAAGAATTACAAAATATTCGAAAGAACTTCAGTAATTCAAAATAGTTTTGGAACAGACGAGTTTATATGGGTTTCCCAAACATTTATCAAAAGCTATAAATAGAGCTGAACATTAGGATAGTACTACCTATTCTCGTAGTCGACGACTGTAAAAATCTCACCTGAATAGAACAAGTAGTTTTCTTTTGAATACATAAGTGAGTACATAAAGAACAATATTGGTTCGTCAATGGTCCTTGTTTTTGAAATATATGGTGACCGTAAAAAAGGAATTAAACGCGTTTTAACCCAATCGCACGTAGGTTTTTGATGAGCCAAGCCTAGTAGTCTCGAAAACGGCTATCGGCATACGATGGGTAGCGCATATTGAACAGTCGAAACAATGGGCCTCAAGTGGCAAATCTGCTGTGTGTCTGCTATCAACCAAAAACGTATTTTTTAAAATCGAGCTAAAACTCATATTGAGAGAAACTTCTCCACTTTTTAATTTTCGGGCCACATGCCTATTATGTATCCTTATCGACAGTAATGCTTACTTATGATTCTATTTGAACAAAAGAAACTTCTTTGCCGTCGATTAGTGTTTAAAAATTCATTTTCGGGCAGAATTTCCTGCACTTCACTTCTTTGTTAACATAGCTGGATGGATGACTCTCAAGTTTACTACGGTTGGGTTACTCTGCTCATTAATAGCCAAAAATGTCATGAAATTTATTATAATTTAATTTTTTCACTGCACCTTGCAAATTACAATATTAATTATTTAATCATAAGCCGTAAACAAGGATTTTAAATTATTATTAAGGAAAAAAATTAATCGTCTTCAGTGGCTTCCATAATGGCCTTGAAGCTGAATGGCTCGAATGCATAACCTGTGCCGGTGTAGAATTTCGACATGAACTCGACCCTGAAATATTGGTAACACAAATATGTATGTAAAATGAAGTCATATAATATCTTTATTTCACTTACCAATGCAAACGCAGCGTATGCAGAAAAGCTGAAAGGCCTTCCATAAATATCATAATGGCTATGGTCAGTAATGCCCAAGCCCAGAAAATAAAGTACAAGCCGATTGCGCCACCATAGCCGCCAATATGGAGACCTTTCTGCATAACCATAAGCCATAGCACATACGATAATTCTATCGGAGAACAAAAATAACGGATTTATACAAAATAATGAACATTTTGACAGCTTGAAATTACCCGCATGTGCCAAAGATAGTGCCCACAACCGCAGATAGGAGGCTGTATGAGAAATGGTACTCAACACATACTCAATGGTGTGAATGGCCTGGTGAATCCAAACTTCACTCATTGGCTCCTCCTCCTCATCATCTTCCTCCTCTTGATGCGCATGGGGTACGGGATCCGTAAGAGTGGCCTCAATAACAACGTCACCCTTTTGGATCTCTATCTTATCGACAATTTCCAACGGTTCAGTCTTTACCTATTTAAATGTTGTTTTTTTTCTTATGCTTATTCGCTGCTTAACTGTATTTTATTTTCTATTAAATGGAATCATACCTCAAACATTCGTTTGCACTGTATGTACAGAGGCTTGCCAATCAACATCCATGGTATGCAAATTAAGGCGACTATCCAGAAAACTCGCTCAACCATCACCTGAGAGCTAAACATGTACATCTTACAACCAGCAAGTTGCGGTGATGCTTTGAATAGAACCATATTGATGAAATAGATCAAAACGGAAGGTGCGCATGCCGGCTGATTTGGCTCGTAATCGGTTGTGGCCGAATATTGTACCCATTTGTAGAACATCATAAATGCCATGTAGCCGAACAGTAGAATCAAGAAGAGTACCTGTGGCACGAACTCTAGGAATATGTATGCATACTTCTTAAAATACACCATATTCTCCACCGACAGACAAACACCGAAAACCATGTGTAAAACACCGAAAATGATGGACAATTTCATCTTGTACGAATTGTAGAAGATAATTTTATTGGCCGCCAACTGCCAGATGGGATCCATACCCCAAGGATAAGTGCCAATTGTGGACGTTGTAGGATTAAGTGCCAAGTTGTCATTGGACAACACAGTGCTGGTATTATAATTTATGCGCCATTTGGAACCAAATACATTGAAGGATTTCGAAAAGGTGTCATTGTAAGTGAAGCCCGTGTACATGGAGAAGAGTCCGAGTAGCATAATTATATAACGACCTCCGAACATGATACGCCAAATTTCACCACCCTTCATACGCATCAGCCGTTTTTCATCTATCACCATCCAGAAACCAATCAAGAACATTATAAAACCGTGACCCAAATCACCAAACATCACGGCAAAAAGGAAAGGGAAGGTGATGCAAGTATAAAGTGCCGGGTTCACCTCGCGATAAGAGGCCATCCCGTACGAATTGATTAGTGTTTGGAAGCCACGCGTAAACTTATTCGTACGATAATAGGTGGGTGGACTTTTCTTTGTTTCCATTACCGTTAGAAATGAGCTTGTGCTACCCGCTGTGGCTGAACCATTTGCGATCGTTTGTTGCACCACTTCCAGATCCAAAGTCGGCACCCAAGCCTCACCAATCAAACACTTGCTGGTCACATCGATATTAAAGTAGTTCAATGTATGATAGATGGCTTTCATTTTGGTAATTTTAATGGACCAATAGGGCAGGTGCTTAGCTATACCTGCCAATATTATATTGCGCTGATCCTTCGTACGTTTCATCACCAATTTTAAGTCCTCCAAACGAGTTTGTACACCCTTCAGCATATTCTCGCGTTCATCGTGCACATTCGGGCAGGGGTACAGAGCGGCATGGAAACCGGTGCATACCTTCTTTATACGTGTATTCAATTGCTCACCCTGATAGAACACAACAAAAGCTGACTTATAAGTCATAGTACCCGTACGTGGGTCTGGCAGTGGCTCTTCGATGTCGGCATATTTCACCAACATATTACCACGTGATATACGCCAGAGCATACGCTCGAAAGCAAACAGACGATGACGGCTCAGCACACCAGCGATGAAACCCAAATGGCCGCGATGCTCGCCGATGAATTTCCCGCTGTTCGCATGCTCCTCCATATTGATAACGGTTTGTTCAGTGAAAAATATTTGCGTTTTTTCCAGCACTTTGCTCAGTTCTGTGAGTTCCAACAAATTGGATTGCAAGTTAACATTATTCTCTGCCATTTCGCGAATTTCACACTCGGCCTTCTCTAAATTAGCCTCCAGTTCATACACCTCACGTGGATTCGGTGCACCTGGTATGTCGTCATACACATCTTCCAGCTTAATGCCATCTGCCTCCAGCTCTCTGGTTATATAACGTACCTGGCGTTCCATTTCGTCACAACGACGCACCTCGTTCACAAACTTACGCTGAAAATTAGTGACATCCTGATTTAGCTGCAATGAAAAGATCGGAAGGCAATTTAATAATTGTCTTCCATGTGGAGAAAAGTGGAAATATAGAATAATTGCATTTTGCAACCTACATCACGAAACTGCACACAGCCAAGTTCACCCAGATCCGCCATATTATTGTAAGCCGCCTCTGGAGCCAAAAACACCTGACACAGCGTCATCTTTTCGCTGCGGAACATGCTACCCATGTTTGTGTCTTTTTTATCTAAGGACAGCGATATAATATACAAAATCTTTTTAACCCACTCCTTCAGGAAGAAAAATGTACTCTACTACAACTGCCAACTCTTTACTCACCTCAGTTCAGCACCGTGCGTAATTTTTCGGAAGACTTCGTCCACTGCCACTGCCAGAGCAACACTGAAAATTCTTCCTTATTTTTTACTCCGTTGTTAAATGAATATTAGTAAAACATGGGTCTTCAGTAGTAATCTGAGTTTACAATCAATCAAATAATCACTAATGGGGAATTTCACACCCTACATACGGTCTATGAGATCAGCATTGAATTGAACGTGTATGCAAGAGAATTTGGTTTAGCAGCGTTTGGGTCTTGCATACTCAAAGAGATTACTCATTTAAGAAATATATATAAATGTGCAGCAATCCATTAATATCTGTACAAATGTTTAGCTCAACCCATATATCTCGAGATATCAAGAGAAATGAAAGGAACATGAGCCAGAAGCAGAAAATCTTACTTTCATAAAAGAACATATAAAATTCCAAAAGTTTCAATTGGAATTATCGAAATGTAACCGCGGAAAAAGGAAGACATTTTCTGTGGCTAATTTCCTGTAATGACTATAATAAGGCTGTAACTAGTAACATATCCGGTCCGTTGAGTACGGGGCAACTTTTTGCCATAGTGTTAATTTCATTATCTACCGTTTTCAAGCTATCGGAAGTTTGATTTTTACCGCCGGACCCCACATATCAACACATATATCCATATAGTTTAGAACATATTTATTTCTGCACGGTATTCGTTTCTTAAGAAGGATTCTATTCAGGCGACCATATATGATCCAAAATTTAAATACATTTGTTCTGTAAAAACGGACAGAAACAAAATATTTTTTTTTAACCGAATATATACAATTATTAATATAGAGAATAAAATAAAATTGTTCTATTCAAACAAAAGTACAATAAATTCAGTGATTACTTTAGAAGGGTTGCTCTTACCCCCACAATTACCCTCTTCGCTAACAATCTTAGCTACGCTACAGTAGTTAAAAAAGTATGGTAAAATACAATTGGATGAAAAATAAACAATAATTTAACTAATTTACAAACAAATACAGCTTTATCACTCTTCCAATCTCTCTTTCTTTTAATAAAATACGTGAACCGAATAATTACATGTACATATAAAATCGGGCATATATTATATTATATTTTCTTACTTACAACATTTCTTAATTGACAATTTTGTGACACTTAAGAAGCTAATGTTCAAATATATACGAATATATTTTCAAAAACTAGTCAGTGCCACAATACTAATTGTAGAGTTTCTAAAAAGTTTTTTTTCATATCTTCTTAAATATAATTTTAATCCAACCAAACGTTTTTTAAATTCTTACGATTCGTGTTTCACCGAAATACTCATTAGAAACCTAATTAAGGCATCTGACTGAATTATAGAATAAATATTTCCCAATTTCCCTTTGATCTAAACATAAAACTAATCCTGTTGATTGACGAGCGCCACAGTTATTAGCGCCGAGTGATAAGACGGCTCATTACGCAGAGCTAAGTGACATCTTTCAATCATTTGGTAGTTTCGTTTAAGTTTTCGTTCAATACTGACTAGCACATACAGTTTTAATATAGTATTAAAAAAGTATTACTTCCAAGGAATACAAGGTGGGTTTTGTATAAATAACGGACTTAGGGGTTAACACTTAGAAAAATTGCATATTTTGAAACAGTAAATTGAATTGAAAAGAACAGTAGTTTTTTATTTAACTAATTTTGAAAATAAAAAATTATATTATATAAAAAACGATATAAGTAACAATAAATAAGAGTTATATGCATATGATTATCTAAAGAAATGTTTATGTACTATTAAAAAATATTTAGTCCAAAAAGCATAAGTTCCCCAACAAGAACGAAAGTAATTGAAACAAAGTGAAAATTTCCATACCTTTTTATTTGAAATTACTAAAGAAATTATAATTATAATTATTTTGTAAAATTAAATTTTTAAATTTTTGTTACAACTAAAATAATGCAAAGTTTTGCTCGAATTTCATGGAAAACGGTACGTTTTAATCAATTGAGAGTATTTTTCCATAAATTTTTTTCCTATATTTTTGTGAAGGTTTTTCATTTATAATACCGAATTTACCTAAGCAAAGACAGTACCATAAGTGCAACCTGACAACGAAGGAAAGGAACAAAAAGTTGATAGATTTTGTATGATGATATATTAAAGAAACTTCTTCAAAAAAATATATAACAAATACTATATGTAATGTTGGATTGAAAGTTAATTACATATAAAAGAAAAGCAAAATCAGATTATATGTATGGAAATATAGTGTTTAATAAACTTTGAAATTAGAAACAAACATATCTGTTTGATAAGATTATTTCGTATATTCTTTAAAGAACTCAGTCATCTCCATCTTTGCGCAATAATACTTTGAAACTGAAAGGCAGAAATGCATATCCCGCGCCACTATAGAATTTGCTCATAAATTCAACCCTGAAAGTACGCACCCATTAAAATTAAATATTATACCACACCAGAAATTGAGAAACTTACCAATGCAAACGTAAGGTATGCAAAAAGGCTGACAAGCCCTCCATCAAAATCATAATAGCTATTGTAAGCAAAGCCCAAGCGCCGAAAATAAAGAATAACGCAATGGCTGCCGGATAACCTTTAAATTTAAGGGCCTCCGAAAGTACCATATTCCAGAGTACTTCAGAAAGTTCTATTGAATGTATAATGTAAATAAAATAACTACGATTTTCAAATAACACGATCTGGCGAACAAACCTGCATGAGCCAATGACAAAGCCCACAAACGCAAATAGGAAGCGGTGTGCGATATAGTACTCAGTATATATTCGATCATGTGTATGGCTTGATGTATCCATATTTCGCTAATTGGTTCCTCGTCCTCTTCGTCGTGAGCATCGTGACTGCCGCCTTCCTCTGCCAATTTACCTAAAGTTGAAATCGACTGTCGCTTAGCCTGCAGAGAGCACGTTATATTATATATTTTAAATCTTCTTTAACAGTTATTTTAAATTTTATGATCGTAAACTTACATGAAGTTTTCGCTTAGCCATGATATACAGCGGTTTGCCCAACAAAATCCAAGGTATGCAAATTATAGCCAAGACTACAAAGATCTTCTCCAAAGAGGGCTGTGCCACGAACATGTACTCATCGCAACCTGCTAGCTGTGGTGAATCGCTAAACAGCATCATGTTGATGAAATAAATGAGAACGGATGGCGCACAACCGGGTGAATCGGGCAAATAATCTGTCTTCGGCGAATATTTAACCCACTTATAAAACATCATAAAGCACATGTAGCCGAAGAGTAGGATGAGGAAAAGTACTTGCGGTATGAATTCCAGGAATATCAGCGCATACTTCCTAAAGTACATAAAATTCACTACAGACAAGCAAACGCCGAAAATCATATGAGCCACACCGATAATAATTGACATCTTCATTTTTAAGGTGTTGAGAAAAATAATTTTATTATCAGCCAATTGCCAAATGGGATCCACACCCAGTGGGTAAGTTTTGAAAGAAGCCACGGCAGGATCTAATTGTAGGTTGTTATTTGTCAATACAGTGCTGACATTATAGCGTATCTTCCAACCAGAACCGAAAATGTTGAGTGACTTTGAAAATATATCATTATACAGAAACCCAGTGTACATAGAAAAAAGTCCCAGAAGTAGTATAATATAACGGCCGCCAAAAAATATATTCCAGATTTCACCGCCACGTTTCCTACTCAAACGCTCCTCATCCAACACCATCCAGAGTGCAAATAAGAATATACAAAATCCGTGTCCCAAATCACCAAACATAACGGCAAACAGAAAGGGAAATGTTATACAACTGTAAAGCGCCGGATTCACCTCGCGATAATTTGCCATACCGTAAGCGTCGATTAGATGTTGAAAGCCATTCGTAAATTTATTGACACGATTAAAGGTTGGTGGTGATTGCTCGGTCTCGAGCTCATTCATAAACGACGGTAGCGTGCTGCCGACAGCAGCCGAACCAGCTGCGAGCGCTTGCTTAACATTTTCCAAGTCGTTTCTCGGCACCCAACCTTCACCAATTAGACACTTTTTGGTCACATCTATATTGAACATATTCAATGTGTGATAAACGGCTTTCATTTTTTGTACCATTACCATCCATCTGGGTAAGTTTTTGATAGTGTTCGACAGCACTAAACGTCTATGATCCACCGTTTGACTTATTACCGATTTTAAGTCTTCCAAACGGGTCTTAACACCACGCAACATATCTTCGCGTTCAGCATGCGCCGCAGGACAAGAGTATAATGATGAACGAAACCCGTTGCAAACTTTCTTGATACGCATATTCAACTGCTCACCCTGATAAAACACCACAAAGACGGTTTTGTAAACCCCAAGACCGGTTTGTGGATCTATCAGGGGTTCTTCCAAATCAGCACGCTTCACATAAATGTTACCACGCGATATACGCCAAAGCATGCGCTCGAAAGCGTAAGAACGCTCACAATTCAGTATGCCGGCCACAAATCCCAACTGCCCACGTGATTGTGCGTTTGTATCATCGCTACCAAAGTGCGACGGTGTATCCATGACATCACTAAAGAACGTTTGCGTCTTCTCCAACACCATACACAACTCGTTTAACTCAGTGTAGTTGGTCTTGATGTTGACATTATTTTGTGCGAGTTCACTTATTTCCGTTTCCACTTTATCTAGCGTAAGCTCAAGGTCACTAATATCACGCTGATTTGGGGCTAGTGGCAGATCATCAGTCAATTCTTTCAGCTCAATACCATCCTTCTTCAATTCACTTTCAATGTAATGCAATTGACGCTCTAGCTCATCGCAACGACGCACTTCGGTTACGTAATAACGTTGAAAAGAATTAACATTAGCATTTAGCTAAAATAGCAATGTGAAATTAGTCTGTGCAAAAACTACTATGCATGCAATATTAAACTCACATCACGAAATTGCACACATCCGATCTCGCCCAACTCAGAAATAGTGCTATAGCCAGCTTCCTGTTGTATGAACAATTGGCACAGAGCCATTTTTTCGCTGCGAAACATATCCCCCATGATGAAGCTGTGCTAGGTTTGAGCGAGGAAAATTGAAAACTGTGGAAAGTGTGTATTGAGAAATAAAGTTCGTATGGAACCAAGTAATATAAAACTGCATAGGTCTATTTACCTATCCCTACTCCGGTAATCCTGACTTGTGGTCTAATTTCAATAATATTATATTAAAATTTTCTGCTATCTTTGGCTATTCATATTTTTAGAAAAGTATATACAGCAAAACTACTTTTCAAAATTTTACCTGTATAACTTGTTAGAATAACGAAAATCATTGTAAGTAGTATATGGGAGTTGGGGTCGTATTGACCCCATTTTATCTATTTTTGCCGCTACCACATACTGCTAACAGGCTATTTAAATATTCTCAGGGTTTCAATAAGGTACCTCACAAACCGTTATCAATCATATGAAGTCACATATTGGCCGATGTATGCGGTATAAAGTCACCCGGAAGCTCAAAAATCTATATATTAGGTGTATGGAGGCTAAGGGAAGTATTGACCCATTTTTGAATTACATACTTACTATTTTCAAGAAAGGATCCCCTCTGAATTTCAGTTATATATCTCACACTTTGACCGATATTTTCGGTATATAGTCAAATACAAATATGAACTGGATTTCACACATTTGGTACCTAAGGGCTTGAACAGTTTTGGTTCGATTTTTTTCATAAAGTGGTATACCTAAAATGCATTATTCAAGCAAAGTTTTATCCCGATACATTATTTTTGGTTGATTTGCATACTATAAAGTAAGGGAACCTTATGGAATTTAAAATTGTGTTATATGGGAGGTAGGCGTGGTTGTTACGCACCGAATTTGCTTGAAATCGGGCGGGGAGATCCCGAGCTAAGGGGTTTCCCTTAAAGGTGGGCGATTTTACAATTTTTGTAATGACTTCTATAAAACTTTAACGTATCATCCTATGTGTAAAATTCGAAGTTTATTAAATAAGTTATCGCACTTTTAGTAGTTTGAATCAAAACCGTTATATGGAGAGTGGACGGGGTTATCCCCCGATTTCACCCATTTTCACACTGTCGATAGGGGTGCTAAAAATATCCTTATAAAAATTCTGAGGGAATTTCGTTATTATAGTTTTAGCGGTTTAGGAGATATGTAACGGGTGATCCAAGCAGAGGTACTTTTTTCAATAGCCTCTTTTAACAGATCACCCATAAGCGATGTCAAGTTGTTATATTATTTTTGTTTACTATTGTTTGGTATTTCATCATGGAACACTTACGCCTTAACAACATTTACAAATTTTTCAACCTTTTTATGAAAATTCACGTTCTGTAAAGAATGTATTTCGCGCGCTTCGCTCAACTTATTGTCTAGATTATCGGCCTACTGAGCATACTAGTATCACCCATTTTGAGACCCAGCATTCATTATTGGATAATATTCGACCGGATAGACCACGTCCAGTATGCAGTGAATTCGGCGGCGTTCGCCACAACTCGGACTGACGTGGGGAACGACTTGATCAATTTTACGTCGAGATATTAAATTGAAAGTGTACAAAATATTGCTTGTGCTCGCCTTTCCCAAGCGACATCGCTTCGCTTTATGGGCTCTTTAAAAGTTCCAAGAAGACTCAATGGGTATGTAAACAAGCAAAATTGCTGCAGACCTGAAGAGATTCAAGAGCTGCCATTTCATCCAGAAAAAACAACTGTTTGCGTGATTTCTGGGCCGGTGGAATCCTCTGTCCATATTTTTTCAAAAAAAGATGCCAATGGGAACGTAACCGTCAATGGCGACCGTTATCGCACCGTGATAACCGACTATTTGATTCCTGAAATTGAAGCTCGTGATCTCGGTGACATTTGATGTCAACAAGACGGCGCCACTTCCAACACATCGCATCAATCAATGTATTTATTAAGAGAACACTTCGGTAAACAGATAATTTCACGTTTTGGGCCGGTCGATTGGCCATCAAGATTGTGTGATATCATAACGTTAGACTTTTTCCTGTGGGATATGTAGAGTCTAAAGTCTATGTGGATAATCTCGTTTCGATTCAGGCCTTGGAGCTAAACGACACACATTGACGAATGGCCAATTACCAGTCGAAATATTCGAACGAGTGAATGGGCCAATTGAGATGTAGCCGCGGCCAATATTTGAAAGGGATAATCTTTAAAATATAAATGCCAAACAATGTTCTTTCGAATGGTAATAAACATTCCCCATTAAATTTGAATTTTCTGTACTTTTTTCTGTTAAAAAGTATGGAGCCTTGATATGGATCACCCAAATATTAAACCTTTTTTTGTTTAAATTTTAACTGCCCCTCTCTAATGTGATTCGTTATACCAAATAACAGTCTTGTATTTAATTGTAGAGCATAGTTATGGCATTTCAACGTGTTAAAAATTATATGAAAAGTTGATGCCTAACTTTAATTGCTTTGTACTGGACGATGAGTCTTACGTAAAAGCTTGCTTTGTACTGGACGATGAGTCTTACGTAAAAGCGAATTTTGAACAAATTCGCATCAGTTTTACACAGCTCACAAAAAGGACAATATTGCCAGCAAATTTAAAAATTAAAAGCTCGACCAATTCCCAAAAATATTTCTTATTTGGCAGCTATTAGCCAGGGGGGTTTTAAAAGTGAACCATTTATTGGCTATGAAAGTATAAATCAAGAAATTTATGTTACTGAGTGTTTACAGAACGTCTTTTGTCTTTAATTAACTGGATTCTTAGTACTCTTTTGGCTTGATCTCGCGACATGTCATTAAGCCAATATTAATTTTAAAGTGGTACCAAGCCAATAGAGTGGCTGTGGTTCGTAAAGAGGCGAATCCTCCAATTGCCCAGAACTCATGCCAATTACTAAGACCTTATTAGCCATTATAAAAGTACAATTAAACTTTTAAAGAACCAACCAAATGTAAAAAAATACAAGGCAGTATATAAATAAATGGCAAAACATAATCAAAGATTTCAGTAAAGATTCTATGCAAGCAGTTATGAAGGATGTTAAGGAAAAATCGCGATTATTCGCCTATAACAGAACAAATTGTTTTTTTTTAATGCCTATATACATATATGTAAACTATAACTTTTATAAATATTTTTAAATTATAAATATTTTTTAATCGTGCACATATTTTATAGCATAATATATTATAACTCAACTTATGCTTATAACGTGTAATTGTTCAAGAGTTGTTGTTATACAAGTAGCTAAAATAGTTAAAAGGATGTATATCAGGGTATAAAAATCAAATTACAACTTTGCTGCTATTATGTATGAAATTGATTTTTAAGACAAAAACTGACAGCAACGGGACATGTAATATTGGCTTCGCAATTAAATTTGTTGATCAAAAATTTTCTGAATATTTATGACTTCTCCGCAGCCAAGAATTTCAAAAATCCTACCTAATAATCAAAAAAGTATGATTATTTCGAAATTGGGCATATTCTGTTTTTGTTGGCATTCTTTAAAAATTAATGATTATATGTAATTATTAAATCTTTTTATTTTTCTATACTATAATGTTTATCTTTGTAGGGGCTATGTTCAAGTTTCAGGAGTTCTCAAAAAGCTGTTTTGAAATTCTAAAGCTCAAAAAACCCAGACTAAAACTAATATAACAATTTATAAAATAAATTTGCTTTAATCTCTTTAATATACTGAGAATTCTCAAGCTTTCAACTTGTGTTTTATGATACTAATTAAGAAATGTTTATAAAAAATGCATATATTTGCCTAAATATTTCGAAATAGCCTCAACTTACAGCCAAACTATAATTTCCAATCTTTTATTATACATGGATTAAACACAGAACAGACATAAAACTATTTTCAAAAATATAATTATTATTAACCACGAAATAATTTAATTACTTCATATAAAAACGATTTCAATATTACCACAATTCATCAAAAAACTTACTCTGGAACACAATAACTCCGATTTGTAATTTTCAAATAAAGACTTGTTACAAACACCTCGCCAGAATGGCTAATAGACACTGAATTTATTTTATGGACTTAACTTCGAATCTCAAATTACCATTCACGCAATCATATTTCCAGTGCATTCAATCATGCAGACCGATGAGTATTGGAAATGGTCGCGTTGACGTTTGGATCGCTGCGTACATATGAACACATTTCAGTAGATATTACAAGAAAACTTAGAGATTTATATAACTAGACATTTTTAAGGCGCCATTGGCTTTAAATCTAATTAATGGAATATGATTGTTAGATGAGTGATGTATTGTATATTTTTACGTGATTATGATTTGTCAATAGAAGATTGTTTGAAAGCAGTTCATCATACCTTATATATTACGTTATAGATATCGGGTACTTAGATATATGTGTTTATAGGTATACTGATTTTTTTTCCATATATACTATATATATATATGTATGACCAACGTTCGACCGTGATAGCTTTGATTGATTGGTTGCTTGATAAGGAATCACTAGCATGTTACGGTAAACAATAAATGTCAAAGGCAAAATCGGAACATAATTTTCAGTTTGTAGTGTGAACTATAGTCAGTAAGATACAAATGAGATACTTGAGTGTAGTTGTTCCATTTTGTTGTATTTCTAAAACTAATATTTTTTAACTGAGTGCTAAATTAAAAAACCTGTACCTGAATAATGCTTCGGTGAGTGCCAAAAATTACAGCAAAATAAAAAAATAAATAGAACAATCAAAACTTTGCTTTGCTCTCTTCTATAAACTTTATTAAACAATATCATCATGCTTATAGTCATACATAGATAAATTGCTTGTATAACATTTTGGTGCTGCAACTTGCATAATTCGCACATAGTGTTTCAACAGTTATTCAATATATGCTGACAAACTCAAACAATTTATAATGTAAACATAATTAGACATATGAAATTCAAAACCATTTTAACAAAAACAAATTAGTAATATAAACAGTAGTAATAGACATTTATCATACAGACGGACGTGAAATTCACAAAAGATAAATTATAATTGGAAGCACTTTAAAATGTGGGAAGAGTACCACAATACTGATAACGCATATGAACAAGCGAATATATAACAATTATACATAGAGGACAACGTTTATTCCTCCTCTTCGCCATCTAATATTGCTTTGAAGCTGAACGGTTGGAAGGCATAGCCCAAACCTTCGTAGAATTTGCTCATGAATTCGACCCTGAAAAAAAAACGAAAAAAAATTAGGAGAATAGAAAAGCATTTACTAGTGTTTCTAACTTACCAATGCAAACGCAGTGTGTGCAAGAAGGCTGAGAGACCTTCCATCATTACCAAGATGGCCAGCGTAAAGAGACACCAGGCGCCGAAAATGAAATACAAAGCAATTGCACCAGTATAGTTCTCACTCTTCAGACCCATTGATAACACCATGTTCCACAAGACCTCAGACAATTCTGCAAATACATAATTAAATCCATATTAGGCTAAGTTGTTTTCAGGGCCCAAACAATAGACGGATATACGATTACTTACGTGCATGAGCCAAAGACAAAGCCCACAAACGTAAATAGGAGGCCGTATGCGAAATTGTACTGAGCACATACTCAATGGTGTGAATGGCTTGGTGAATATAGATTTCACTCATGGGTTCGTCGTCGTGACCACCGTGTCCACCGCCGCTGTGATCGGCTTCATCAAGACTGGTTGGTATTGGTGTTTCGCCTTCGGCAAGTTCGATATTGCCGGTTAAATCGCCATTATGCTTAACCTACAACAAAAGCACCCAAAGCGGTGAAAAGTTTAGATAACTGTGTTAATAGAAAATATTTTTGCTTTGAGGACTTTTACTTACATGCACTTTGTTTTTACGTGTGAATTTAATATACAAAGGCTTGCCCAACAACATCCAGGGTATGCAAAGCAAAGCGATATATACTAATAATTGCTGCACGGCAGGTTGCGCTGAGAACATGTACTCATCACAACCGTCCAATACAGGCGAGCTCTTGAACAACATCATGTTGATGAACATAATTAGAACAGATGGCGCACAACCAGGTGTGTCCGGTTGGAATGCGGTCTTCGGGTTGTATTTAATCCATTTGAAGAACATCATAAACACCATGTATCCGAATAGTAATAGCAAGAAAAGAATTTGTGGGAGGAATTCCAAGAATATGCTGGCATAACGCTTGAAGTGCACAAAGTTTACAACTGACATGCATACACCAAAGATCATATGTGTTACACCCACAATAATGGATAACTTCATCTTGTAGGTATTGAGGAAGATGATCTTATTTCCGGCTAATTGCCAAACGGGATCCAAGCCCAAAGGATATACACCGTATGTGCTGTGGTTGGGTGACAACTGCAATGCGGCGTTATCCAAAACGGTGGAGGTATTGTAACGTATCTTCCAAGTTGAGCCGAAGACGTTCATTGATTTTGAGAATATATCATTGTAGATGAAACCGGTGTAGCAAGAGAAGATACCCATCAAAAGTATAATGTAACGACCACCGAAGAAAATATTCCAAATTTCACCAGCCTTTTTCCTTTGTAAGCCCTTTTCGTACAGCACCATCCAGCCGCCGAACAATGCCAAAATGATACCGTGACCCAAATCACCGAACATCACAGCGAACAGAAATGGGAAAGTGATGCATGTATATAAGGCGGGGTTAGCCTCGCGATAGGAGGCTACACCATAGGCATCAATCAAATTCTGGAAACCACGTGTAAACTTGTTTGTGCGATTGAATGTTGGTGGTTGTTCGTTTGTGTCAATCACATTCAAGAACGATGGAATAGTGCTGCCAACAGCAGCTGAGCCATCCGATAGAGCCTTCTGTACAACAGGTAGATCTTTGGTTGGTACCCAGCACTCGCCGATTAGGCACTTCTTTGTGACGTCCATGTTAAATAAGTTCAATGTGTGATAGATCGCCTTCATCTTCTTCACCATAATCGACCAGGATGGTAAATTCTTCGAAACAGTAGCCAACACACGACTTCGATGATCTTCAGTTTGACTCAAAACTAATTTCAAATCTTCCAAGCGTGTGCGTACACCCTTAACCATTTCCTCGCGCTCAGTATGGGAGCTTGGGCATGGATACATGGACGCATGGAAACCGGTGCAAACCTTCTTAATGCGATTCTTGAGCTGTTCACCTTGGAAGAAGGCAACGAAGACGGTCTTGTAAATTGGATGACCGGTTGCAGGATCCTTAAGTGGATCATCCAAGTCGGAACGTTTCAGAAACACGTTGCCACGTGAAATACGCCAAAGCATGCGCTCGAACGCAAATACACGCTCGCGATTGATCACGCCCGCAACAAAACCCAGGCGACCACGATTCTGTGGGCCGACTTCCTCAACGGCATTTGGACCACGATTGCTAGAATCTAAATTGAGCACTTCCTGGTCGGAGAAGAAACCTTGCGTATTCTCGAGCACCTTACGCAATTCGGTCAATTCCAAGTAATTCGACTTGAGGTTGACCTCATTTTGGGCCAACTCGAGAATTTCATTTTCGGTTTTCTCCAAATGTGCCTCCAGATCGATGATCTCACGTGGATTGGGAGCGCGGGGGATGTCGTCTAGAATGTCTTGCAACACAATGCCATCCTTCTTGATTTCCGCCTCAATGTAGCGTATTTTGCGTTCGAGCTCATCGCAGCGGCGCACTTCGGTGACGAACTTTCGCTGGAAAGCGTTGACGTTGCTGTTCAACTAAAAAAAATTGACCAAAATATTAAATATTCATATAGCAACTATTTGTTCAGGCATAACTATGACGCACAAACCTTGATCGCCTTAAAGTTCGGTACTTACATCACGAAATTGTACACAACCAGTCTCGCCCAATTCCGAGACAGAGGTGTAGGCAGCCTCCGGTTGTATGAACATTTGGCATAATGCCATTTCCTCACTCCGAAACATGTCCCCCATCTTGATGAAGACGTCTCGCCGCTATTCCACTGTAAGTAGAAAGGGTAAAAAGAATCATAAATGAACAAATTAAGACAGGTCTCGACTACTTTATGCTATTTTTATAATCGTATATTTCGCACAAATATTTTGTACATATGTATATTCATATTGAATGTTAGAAAAAATTTATTTTGCAGACCTAGACCAAAACAAAGAAATGTCGTAAAAAATGTTGGCTGGTCAAATTGACTGTCGCATTTTTCTGAGTGCAAATAAATACAATTAACATACATATATGTTTTATTTATACAAATAGACAAATAATTTTATGTATTTTATGAAATACGACTGTGTCTGGAACACTATAAATTTTAAATATCTTCGCATCTAATTAATATTATAGTATATTTTGTTTACCCAACACATATAGCATGCATAATAAAACAAAACAAACACATTTTTAGTCTCTCAATATTTAAAAGGCCTTTCTTCTAGACAATATAAATGAAAGATGACTATCGCTGTAGCTAAGTGCGTTAATAGCTTGGTTACCAGTCAACCGGGTGGGCTGAAATCGGGTCAGACTTAAAATTTGTAGAAAATCTATTTGACTATTAGATTATACATTCGGCTAGCTATGCCAAATATCTGAATGCTAATCTTGAAAAAGGTTCCCATATGTAAATTCTATTTTACATTCGGAGTCGGCCTAAAACTTGTAGACATTCTCTATTCGGTGAAGAAAATCACGAATTTGGTGAAAATCTCTATCAAAATTCAAGCAAACATCCAAACTCAGGTCCAAAATCCATAATTTGTGACATAAAAAAACTTATTTTTGTTATTACAGCTGCGAAAAGCATTCCCTAATAAATTTTGACTTATATTTGAATGCCGCCGAGTTAACAGTCCTTGGCCGGATATAAAACGGGGTAAATTTTGCATAGATTCTATTGTCGAGAAACGGACATCGTATAGTTTTTTAAAAGCTAGAACGTGGGACTTAGAGCCCCTAGATTTTTTATATATGTATATCCGTATGGAAAATCGAAAATCAATAGATAGATAGATTTATTTAATGTATAAAATTAATAAGTAAGGCCGAGCCTCTTCTAATTTTTACATACAACGTGTTCTCACGACAATCGTTTCTTCGCAGCCGGATCGCAACAGACCCAGAATTATATCCGGTCCCCTCAACAGCGTTCTTCAAAACTATTTGGGAAATGTTTTACGCTGATATAACAGCAAAAGAGATTAACTGTTCTTAAAATTAATTAAATAAAGCGACTTTAGCATCTAATAATAGACATCCCTGCGAGTAATCTTCAAAAATTATTATATCCGAATTACTCACTATGCGGTAATATTGGGAATATTCGCCAACACATATCTTAAAGATACCATTAGATGTTATTAAGTCCCAAACGAATATCTTTGGGGTATAATTGGAGATCGATTAGTTGTAAAATATTTAAGGGAAATACAACAACATAATTTTGATCGCTCAGTTTGCATGACAGCTATATGCTATAGTGGTCCGATACCGACAGATGAGCAACTTCTTGGAAAGAAAAGAACGTGTGCAAAATTTCAGATCGATATCTCAAAAACTGGCGTCTCTATACAGACAGACAAGGATAAATCGAATTAGCTCTTCATGCTGATCATTTATATATTTATGTATATACATTTTATTGGGTCTCTGACGTTTCCTACTGGGCGTTATAAACTTCATGGCAAAATTAATATACCCTGTTCAGGATATAAAAATATGCGAACATATTACTTTACGACTAATGATGGACTCATCCCCCGGGCTGGTTTCTTATTTCGTTTATACATATTAGTGAATTTATAAGTGATTTTACGAAATACAATATTTTATATGAATGTCCGTCCAATAAGAAGAAATGTTAAAAAAAAAAAACTTAAAATTACCGTAACTAACTGCAAAAGCTTGAAACCTTTTTAAAAATGTCAGCACTACCAAAACACATTTTCGACAAGATTAGGTGCTACAGCTCTAATAAATAATAGCTTCTGGGCTTATCGCTAGCAATTGTTTTCCATATGTATATAATGTAATTTGAAAGCATATAAAAATTAATACATACACATGTACAAAAGAATCAAATTTAAAAACGTCAAAATTATCGCCATAGCGGTGAACACCACTGGAGTATTACGCAACTGCTTTAAATCATATATATATATGCGCATATGCATGTATATAAATATTTATTTAATTCTGTTGATTTTTGAAATTAGCACACACATTTATATACATACATACGTATTTGTATCATATTCTAAAAGTTCCAGTTTGCTTGTTGCCAGTTCATATACATATATATTTGTCTATTAACCGGGTTGGAAAAATATCATATTGTATGTATGTACATAGTCAATTAGCAGAGCTTTACAGTCAGCTGATATCGCAGAACGCTAGAGATATTCAACAATCATGTGAGCCATCATGTGAAGCTTATGAAGAAGCTTCGTCGATCAAATATACTCCTAAGGCAACGCCTTAGTCAAGCAGTTAACTTTCGCACATATACAAGTGCATACGTATGTATGTGTGTGCGTACGTGTGTCGCATATATGTAAGTATATATGCACATACTCCTATATATCTCCACTTTATGCCATTCGGTTGCTTTTACTCCAAAAGTATTTGTGTTAATGCTATTTAAAATTGATTGCCAGATATACGAGTACTTATATCGTCTCAAATTTTGTTTACTGAGAACTTATTTATTTAATTTTTTTGTATATTTATTTTTATAGTTTTTTAATTTTTCAGGCTTTGAACAGTTGCACACGCAAAAGCCAATACAAACACCGAAATATACATACATGTATTTATGTATGTATGTGTATTTCCTGCGTTTGCTATATGCATTTGTGTTTATGTATGCATGTACTCGCCTGCTTACATAAATACTCGTACTTGACCGCGTCTGTGATGGTGCCAAATTGCTGACGTTTGCGTGAAAAAGCCGACGACTGTATGTGTCGCTGATGACGCGATCACGCGCCATGAAAATTTAGCGACAGCACCTTTTTGTACAGATGGATATGTATACGAGTATGTATGTATGTAGGTACGTATATAATTGGTATTTTCGAAATGTAATAATCATTAGTCCACGCACTTTAAAGGCTAGGCTCCAAGAGAGTGTTTAAGAGTGCTCCAAATGGATGAGTCAAACGGCAGACGTTTAGGATTATATTTTACAGGTACCTGCGATCATTATAAGTTTACGAAAATAGTCAGCACAGGAAGAAAACACCCATAAAATAATAAGATATTTTATGATTTTGTAACATTATTTTGTATGAAAAAAAAAAAAATTTTAAAACTATCTCTCACGATTTAAGGTGGGACTTTTACCTCGAATAATTTTTGAACGAGTCGACTTAGCAAAAAATCAAAGTAGACCTTTTTTGTACATAAATCACAATGCGCCACCTGTTAATATTAATACATATTAAGAACACCAACTTCACCAGGATTTTTTTTTTGTCATTTCGGATGATATTTTCACGGTATATGAGGGAAAAAAAATAACGTTTATTATTAACTAATATAACTTTAATATACCGAAATGGATATATTTACTAGCACATGCCATTTTTATATATCTGAAATCGAAATTTTAATTTATTTCCATACATAAGAGACCCATTGGACATACCACAGATAGCAATGTCGATTATAAATTAATTTGCTAGCACACATCCATATCTATATACATACAATTTAGTATAGTTGAGTGTTTTAGGCGGAATTTATAGCGATAAAAGTGCCGGTATGCCATATTTAGGCAAATTGAGCGCACACAGAGGCACGGCAATGGAGGATTAAAAGTTTGCAACAGAACAAAAATGCGAGTATACCTATATGGATATGGTAGATATACGAAATATTTATTATATTTTTATACGCACTCAGCAATATATACACATTCATAAGTACATGTATATATAACACATTCCAGTATTATTATTTATCAATTCTGTTACTATTGATTATATACGTATAATTTAAATATTTAGGAGTATACAATATATATTTGTGCTCACATAATTAAGTCACTGCATGGCAAAATAACGTTTCAGAATATAAAGTCCTCGAGGTAGCTTTGCATTTGTATAAAGGTATGGGAATAGGTGCAGTTATCTGTGTTCATATGTACCATATATATACACATACGTTTCTACTTTTACTCAATATTAATTACATGATCGACGTTCGACATTGTCATGCTAAACGACAAATATCTTTAAGTTAATTTAATGGAAGTGTACATACGAGTATGTCTGTACGTATGTGTGATCGCACATATATTCGTATAGCTTTATACATATGTAAGTAATCTATGTGATTTCCGGCTTTTTATAATGAAACAATCTTTTTCAGCATTTATTCGCTCAATAACTCTTCTTACTAAAATTATATAACAAAACTGTAATAACATCCGTTTATTGTTTATATTGCAAGAGTCACACTAGCTGCAATTATTTAGCACTTAATTTGCCTTGTGCGCTTAGTGGGACGCCACTGTGCAAAAAAACATATGAAAATTGTTTGTTGCTTTAAATCCCTATTGTTTCTCCAATTTAGTAAAAATAAATAACATAATTTTGCATATTTTTCCAAAAAAATTTTATTCGACATCAATACCAAACAAAGAGCTGAAAGCAACAAATAGACACCGTTAGCCCGTTGGTATTCAGTTTTATATGCAAATAATTAATTGTAAGCCAGTTCAACTTCACAGCGTCAACGCGACTAAACGCCAAAAGTGTTCGTTCGCCAAACTACGCAAATTTATCGCTTGCCTGCTTCTTCAGATTTTAGCTCAATATTCAACTAGCTAAATGCGTGTCAGGCAAAAAAAAATCGCAATACATGCTGCATGGCAGTCCTTAAGAAATATTCCAAGCAATTTTACCTTGCATGTACAATATATTGGGGCACAAACGCCTTTACGACTTAGGCTAACATATGCATATACTGAGTTATATTTCAATTATTTTTCCTTTTTCAAACTTCAATTAATTTTTTAAACTATTTTATCTGTGTTTGTTTTTGTTTTAAATGCATTATAAATAGTTATTTCTTTAGATACACACACAAATACAAATACATATGTGTGTGTTTTCTGAATTCAAACATTTTTGGTTTGCATGCGCGGATCCAGTGGCTTTCAAATGTTAGCCATCACACTTATAAAAAAGCATTAGGCCGACTCAATTGGGGTGCGGCGAAACAAAAACAAAACAAAATTCAAAGAAATATGTGAAACATGCTTACCACACCCGCGGGCCACGTGACACGAATTAAAAGAAAGGTTGCGAAAGGTTGATGATATATGTATTTATATGTACATATAGAATTATTTGATTGGAAAAATTGTCAAGTATAAAAGAAATAATAACAAGAGTGGAAAATGAGAGAAAACTATAAAATGTTCAATGAAGCTCAAAAAACAAATTTTAAAAAATTGAGATGTATGTATGTATGTACACCTAATTAATTATAATATAAATTATAAACAATGTTATTTTACGTTCTCTGGTGTGACACCTTATGCCTAGTGTGACAGCCTATAAAAGAGCGATTTTTGGGTACATATTTTACGAAACACAGTAAATTCTTTGATTTTACATGCGATTCATGATGGCACTAAAAATATGTTCATCCACTGATACAGTGGTTTTTGGCCTGCCAAAATTCGATTTTTGTTGCTGTTTCGAGCCAACCAATGGCCTTCACCGACTATTGACCTAACTGTAACTAAAAAAATATTTTAAATATTCATTTACAATTTTAGGATGCTATTTTTTTAAGCTAAGACGAATAAAAAATGTAAGAATAAAAATATTATTGTTTTTCTTCGAAATTTCACCATAGTTGTACCGCTTAAATTACCTTTCTTCTAATATCTAAATAAAATCATGTGTCGGGGATATTGAATTGAGATGGAATATGTACTATAATGTATAATATAACTGTTCAACCAATAGATATTATCTTAAATAACCATTTTTCTAAAGGTTGAAGCAAAAACTTTTCAAAAATTTACAAAACTTAAGCAGATGCCAACTAATGCTCCTTGCACGTAAACTGCATTTATTATGGCTTTTCAACAATCGTAGGTAGTAAGACAGAATATGCATTATTTTTTCTGGAAAAACATGTGAAGCAAAGCCCACAGAGTTGAATTTCTATTAGGATACACATACGATACGAGATAGCAATAATTAAAAATACTAAAAAAGTTAAACAAATTTTTTGTGTACATCTGGATATGTGTGCTATTAAAGCATGGTAAAAAAGTTTGCTGTAGTTTCTAAAAATAGATGTAGATATTAATTGAAATAGAAGAAAAAATTCCGCTGAAGCAAACTGGTAGCAATAAGTTTACATAAATACATACATACATAACATACTATATTGCAGGTTTGAATGTATATATGTATGTTTGTATATTTGTATGTACATATGAATCAGCCACTACTCCCTAATTAAAATCGAGGCCAGTTTAGTTATCACCAACATATTTCATTACTTTTCACTTGCCAACGGATAGAAATACAGACTTATTTACACTTATTGCATATTATATAAATATGTATGCATGTGTATTGATATTTGTTCAAACGTGCACATACAACCATATGACCATTTGAGAACATATCGGTGAGGCTGGTTGCAAATCATTAATGACTCGCAGTATAAAGTAAAACAAAAAAGCATTCTGATAAATTACCCTGCTAAAGTTCTAATTTACATATTTGCATATATGTGTGTATTAAATTATATATGTATGTGTACGTATATGCATATGAATTAACAATAAACCACAACTTTCTTCCATTTTAAAAGCCTTTTTATTGGCAATGCTTGTCTTAATTGAGAACATGTTTGTATTTGTGGACCATATGTATATATATATATATATATTGTATATATATATATATATATATATTGTATTCAATACTTTCCTGCTGCCCACAATTACTATTCATTTAATGAAGCAATAGCTGTTGTATTTTATTTTAATTTCTTCCTATATGATGAGTCTAAAAAATTTTAAAATTTATTATTTACCAGAATGTTTTGTTTTTTATTCATAAACTCCTTATTTATTACATTATTTTACAGTTCTCAAGCTCCAAACCTCAAACCACTGCAAGTTTCAGTCTCCCGGCAACGAGCAGTGTTTTGTTCAATGAAAAATTGCATTACAAAACTGGGTTCATTCACATATTTTTCATTTTAATTTTTTCTTTTTAAATTACAATTCTTGTGGCGAAAACTACTTATCGATGCGTATTTTTTTGTAATATTGATGTAAAGTGTGTTGTAAATTTTTAACCTATGTATGTATGTATGCATGGTCGGTCATAAGAATTATGCATGCTTATTAAATTACGACCTTAAAGCATTTCGCGTCAGCTGACTAATGCTTAGCAGACTGCCCTTGCAGCGAACGTTAACCTTTCGGCGCTAGTTTGTTGTGTCGTACATGGCTCCATGGGATGTACGTATGTATATATTTACTTGAGCATAATACAAACGCAATCAGTCAATTACACCCACACCTGCTGCATGGCCAGACAAACACCACGGACAGCGTGCCAAAATGCAAAAACGTTCTAAGACAGAGCGCAAAAACACAGCAATGAAAATAGAAAAGTTGTAGCAAATGGCAAATAAACGAAATTGAAAGGTTGTAGCGTAATATCAAACATCCCACCCTGCCGCTGAGATGTATTGGCGGGCGGGTAACAATATGTTTGTTAAATTGAGCAATAATCCATACCAAAGTTTGTGAAGATCAATAAATATATAGTCAAATAAATAAGCTTTCCATACAAGGACTTAATTTTGATCGATCAGTTTGTATGGCACATACATCCTATAGTGATTCGCTATCGGCGCTTCCGACAAATGACCAGCTTCTTGGGGAGAAGAGGATATGAGCCGGATTTCAGATCGATATCTCAAAAACGAAAGGACTAGTTCTCGTATATACAGACAGGCAGACGTACAAAGCTTATTCGACAAGCTCATCACGCTGCGCATTTATATATATATATATATATATATATATGTATATTTATGTATATATATTTGTAATATGATTTCCGATGTTGCTTTCTGGGTGTTACAAACTTCATAGTAAGTTTAATTTACCCTGTTCAGGGTAAAATAATTATGTAGCTACAAATCTCGTCGTCTGTATGTGAGTATGATATATATGTATGTGGTAGTGTTTATATTCAAACAATATTCAAAACTGCAGCTTATAATCCAATTATAACTAGTTATTTTGTAACCATATGCACAACTAATCATTTTTTAATC